AAGATCAAATACCCATGTAGATTAGCCGAAGGGACACAGCCTTCTATGTGCCATGTGTCGTGTTTCCGAGCTCAATGTTGAGCCATGTGGCTGCCACCAGTCGCGGCATTCGGGAATGCGAGCTCTGGCCAATGTGTGGGAGCGTGTCCCTGGACTCCGGATGTTTGGACAAGCCCTTGGCCGTCGCTCCCGGTTCCCTGGGACGCACCATCTCGACCCAGGGTCATGAGAGTGGTTGCTGTATTTAGATATTCACCAGGCTGGCTGTGTGGCTGCATGTATGCTCGTGTCCATTGACTCCAGTCTTGAGGAGCATAGGTATTAGCCGCGTACGCGGGCTGGTGGCCGTTGTTGGCAATTTGCGCATTACTGTAGGCGTACGCATCAGTTGAGGGTTGCGACATGCTACCCGAGCCTGCTCCTGCTAGTGCTGCTGCATGGTTCGCATGCATGCTTGTCTCATCGCCGTTGCTGTATGCGTGTTGTTCGTACGTTCTATTCGTATGCTGAGGGAGAGCCACCGGGGTGCCAAGACTGTATGGATGTGTACTGTTTCCCGGAAGACCACTGTACGGGCCTACTGATTGTGAGGTGAGGGTAGGGTCTGTGGGTGAACTGGATGAGGTTGTGTACTGGTCGCGGTACCCGCTGTTGTCGTACGTGGGGGCGGTATTCGTCGATCGGGGTGGAGCATGCATCGCTACGCGAGCGAGAGACTCGGTCGCAGTTCGCTTGACAATGTTATCGTTGATGTTACTAAGCGACTGGTCGACGATCCTTGCGACTGCAGTTTTGAGCTTGTTCCCGGATCCCAGAAACTGGTCGCATTCGCCAAGCACATTGACCCAGGCTGCCATGTCGCCTTTGAGCTTCGTCATATCCACAGGCGACATTTGCTCTTGTCGCATAGATGAGATGAAGAGAGTGGTGAAGGCAGCGGCAATGTAAACGACCGTGTTGATCCAGGGAATGTCCAGACTCTTTTTGTTCATCATCGCCGTACAGTTGTGCAGCATCTTCTGCGACGCAGTCAAGCACTTGTCCAGATTGGAATTGATGACGGCCGTGTCAGTGGACCTGCAAACGGCTGGATGGTGTAGAAGCAGGTTGAACGCCTGATACCAGTACTCGAGATACAAGGCAAATATGTGGTCATCTTCGGACGCATGCGACGGGTCGCGCAACTCGTAAGGGAGGTCGTCTTTCCACTGCTGTATGCCGGCTTCGAGGCGTTTCAAGCCCTCCAGGTATGTTCTCGGCGAATGTCGAACAGCATAGATGATCTTGTAGAGTTCCGTTTCCCACACAATGTATTTAGCCATTTGTATGCCAACTTGGAACGAGCATTGATGGAAAGAGTCCAGCTTGCCTTCCTCGCCAGGCAGACAGTCGTTCATTGGATCCGGAAATTCGACATCGATGTCACTTATGCTGATGGGTATCGGCCGACCAAGCTTTCCGCTAAGGTTGACCAGCAGCGCGTGCAGCGTCCAGTAGACTCGTTTCCTCATCTCGATATCCAGCTTGCCGAGTTCTCCGGTGCCGTCTACCCAGACCTTGACAGATCTATGCAGACCCAGTTGGACAGCAAACAAGTATACGGTCGAGGTCATGATCCACGCCGCACCGGGCTTGGGGAAGGTCCGGAGATGGTGGCATATCATGGCCATGGCTTGAACGTCTTCCCAGCCGTGGTCTCCACGGATGAGCTCCTTGTAGAAACTCAGCGCATACATGTAGTGGGCATGCGAATCGTCCAGCATCGTGCTGCCGCTGTGTTGGCTGTTCCGGGTCGCGATCTGGTAGGTAATGGTCGCGAGCATCAAATGGACCGTCACAATCTGGGGTGCAGTAGGAACGAAGCTGGAGTCGTTGCCGAATCTCCAAATCTGTGGGCATTAGCGGGGCGCACTGTGATAGTTGGTGGCTGGCCTACCAAATCCATGAAGACGGGCTTGTGGACAAGCATCGTGTAGGGGTTCAGAGAACGCAGATACCAAATGGCGTACTCTTGCAGCTCCGGGTATGGCGGTAGTTGGGGCTCGTCGACATGGCGACTGCCGATTGCAATGTCGATCAGTGTCGTGTAGGACATGGGCGAGCTCTCGTACTCTTCCTCGCCTGCCATGAAGTCGGTAATGTTGATTTCAGTGCCGAAGATTGACAGCGAGGTGCCTTTGATATGGCTCAAGAGTGAGTCTCCCGCCGCGACACCGAGATAGTTGTCGCCGATGGAGCCGTGCTTGAACTGCGGCAGCGTCTCGATCTTGCCTGGAGTGCCGGCTGGCGCGTAGCCGGGCAGAGGTGAGGTGCTGGTGCGTCGCGGGCCATCGTTCCACGCCTGGCTGTCGCTGGGGGCGGAGGACCACGGGTGGCTGGGCGGTTGGAGGGCGTTGTAGGCGGGCGGTGCGCGGGGCTCGATGTTGTGCTCCTTCAGCTGGGCCTGGAGGTCAGCGATTTGGGCGCGCAGGTACGAGTTCTCCGACTCCATGGCCTCGGCATGGCCGCGGACAGTGGCGCGGCCGGTGATGCGGTCGGTGGTGCGGCAGGGCGTCCTGTTCTGCTCGCACGGTGTGCAGCCCTCGGGGCGGCCATCGCAGCGTATCTTGCGCACCTGCCGTGGTGGTTAGTGGTGTCATGGTGTTTAGGAAGGCGCGTCCAGGCAATGACGTCGCTGGCGCAGTGGTTGCCAATGTTGTGAGACGACGACCGTCCACACCAATTGACATGCACCAAGACTCCTTCATCGCGTGCGACTAACTACATCACGTACCTTGCATCGATCGCACGCCTGACCCGTCCGCTTGGAGTCGGCGAGCTTCTTCTTGACAGAGCCGGAGAAGTCATTGTTGGAGGGCGGGCGGTGTTGTGGGCTCAGCGGGTCGGCATGCTCGATTCGCTGGATCTTGTTGACGAGATTGGGGTCATCGTCCGGGGGTCGCTTGGTGGCCATACTTTTCGTAATGCACGTCGAAACAGGCACGAGACGGGAAATGCCGATGGAGAAGACCGATGCAAGTAAACCCAGCAAAGGTGGTGCGCCTCGGGTGGCTTGCGACTATCACCTGTCAAACGAAAGACACATGACTTCTAGCGAGACTTGCGGCTGCGCGGGAATTGAGCGTCGCTGCAAGATGCGCGACCTCTGTGCAGTCTCGTCGGCCGGGTTGCGAGAGGGTGGAAGAGGAAGTGAGGGCTGGCTGCGCTGGGAGTCAAAGGGTGCGAGTGAAAGCGCGTTTCTCGGCGATGCGTCTTAGGGAACAGGCCCATTCTCCGCAAGCCCTCCAGCTATCGAGTCCAGTCCGCCCTTTATTGGCCACATGGCGCTCAGAAACCTGGACCTCTAGACGGCTGTGACGGTGCCTGCCCTGACATATTCGGCGAATTTAGTTTGTTCTCTGGCGATCGACACGATGATCCGTCCTGATTCGCCGTGCCACCTTCATTCTCTGGGACTAAATCTAGCTTGGCCGTCCCCGCTCCTGCCCAAAGCGGCCGTCGAGCTTTAGACTCACCCACGATCTGATATCCTTGGAGATTGCCAATGCAAATCGACAACTGGCGAACCGCCTAGCAGCGTCCGTCTCCATGATCACCAAAGAGCATCATCAACCACAAAGACGCCACTAGAGTTTTCATCACACGACGAAACACGCACGACGACATCACATCGCCAACAAGGTTCCGCCCCCGCGACGTGGTGCATTTCAACACCCAAACTTACGCCAACACCAATCCCATCTAACATGGCGTCCGTGCGAACCTTCACAATCCCGCACTACGAGGCCTTCCCTGTCCACGTGGCCTTATTCAAGGATGTCAAAAACGCCTCCTTCCTAAGGCGCCAACTACTCGAGGCCAATCCAGAGTTCGACTATGCCTTCTTGGATGCATCCATGGTAGGTCGTGGTTCACTACCTGTTCATTGCTTTTCGCGCCTCCAGCAACCCCCGCCTGTCAGGGTCCGCTGAGTCACCTGGATCAAAACAACACCCCACAAGTCAATAAAGTTTCGTGATAAGAGATTGCGAGGCGTGGATATTTTCCCCGCGGCATCTTTGCACCATGGTTAATCTCATCACACCGCATGCGTAAATCAGTCTGGCATCTGATGAGGCTGGATAACCCTAAGCACTAACGTATCCCAACGACAAAAGCCATGCCACATTTCAGCCCTACCCTGTTGTCACGGTTCATTTGAATCGCCATCTACGATGGATCGACATTCACCCTCGGTACTAACAGATCACCCCAGATACTCTCACCACACCACCTGCTCTCGGCCACATTCCTCGCCTTACACGCTCACCTGACCAACCGTGCCAAAACCCGCACTCCACATTCCGAGCTAGTATTCCGCCTCTCGCCCAACAATAACATTGGCGAATCATATAAGAAATTCGGTATCGCTGATACCACGACCGCACTGATTGCTGTCAAGCTACCCTTGTCTCCCTCAACATCAACAAGGGAGCAGGGCGCTTATGAAAAAGATGAGAGCATCACGAATGAATCTGTGAGTAAGCATCTGGGCAGTGCGGTAGAGGGGACGAGTGTGGAGTTGGGTGAGAATGGGGAGGAACTGGGTGAATGGTGTGATGTTGACAAGGTGAAGAAGGTGTATAAGCTGGGTGGAGGAGATAGTGGGAAGAAGGGAAAGAAGGGCGGTGGCCTTGACGGGGATGCGGATGCAGAGAGGAGGACAGCGGAGAAGAAAGATATCGAAAGTGTTGTTCTGGGTGTTATCGCGCTGAAAGGGTCATGAGCTAGGGTAGGGTTCCTTGCAGTGAACCACTAGGGGTGATCAGATGTTGAGAAGCCTCGACGCGTCGGGCTGACATGCAAGCCTGACCCGAGGGAAGAGCGAAGAATATTCGAAATACCAGGCAAACGGGTCGGATGCATGCATTCAACTCAAAAGAAACTTCTCCACCATACTATGCTACAGGTTTAGCGACCATATAGATACACTCTATAATTTACGAGAAAGTCGCCCAAGCTTATAACTCCCTGTACTCGGGCTTGAGGAAGTCGGCCATGTTCTTGGGCCTGGGGTATGGGTTCTCGGCGTGGTGGTGGTCATGGCCGTGGGCGTCGTCGGCCGGGCCAACGTACTTCATCTCGTATACGGATCCGCACTCCATGCAGCGGGACTTGGGCTCCTCGCGGGTAAGGGTAATCCAGAGGACGTTGTGCGAATCGGCGGGGAAACCGGTGCAACCAACGTACTGCTCGTTACCGGCCGAGTTGACGGTGATGGGGTCCTCCATCGTACCTGCATTTCATCAGCATCACATCACGCCACTAGTAGCCCAAACTCGCGCAAGTTCTTTTTTTTTCCTGATCTTTCCGGGGGCGGTATCACGTACCGAGACGGCTGGCGTCCAATGGCCTCATGTCGAAGATATCGATACCCTGCATCTTTCCGAGAATTTCGAGACGCTCAAGACCGGTCGCCTGCTCGGCATCGGTAGGAACGGTACCGGGCTGCGCACCAGGGGGCAGAAGGTCCTCCTCGGTCTTGATTTCTACAGAAGTGACCTCGTCAGCAATTGATGGTTTTGGCCTATCGTAGCCGCGGCAATGCGGATGACGAAGTGCGGGCGCAACATACGGTCGAGCTTCTTGAAGCCTGCGAGGACGCTGGGGGAGTTGGCCGAGTGACCGGTCTCCTTCTGCGCAATGTTGCTCTCCTTGGCCTCCTTGCTCTCGGTGGACTCCCCTGCTATGGTGTCAATGGCACATCGTACGATAGCTCCTCGCGAAACATACAGCGGGCAAAGGTGGTGGTGAAGGTGCGGCGGGTCGCAATGGCGCGGGGGGCCACACGCCTTGCTGCGGCGATAGCAGAGCGCTGGACGAACATGGCGGGACGATTGGGGTGGAGTGGAGAGGGTGGGCGTGGTTATCGAGCTGGTGATGTTCGTCAGTCGTGAATTGACGAGCCGACGGCAGACGGCTTGGCGCTGTGATTAGGTAAGGCAAGCCACAGAACGCTGGTGACGCTGCTGGCAAGCTTCTGCCTCGTGGTCTGCGATCGTTGATTCATCAACGGCTCGTTTCTACGGCTTGCGCCATGCACCTGCAGCATCATGACCTACGCTGCATTGATCTTAGACATTGGTGATTATTTATAAGACGGTGCTACGCACGACTGCTCTACCTTACAGCCTTCGGAACTCTACTCTCAACCTTGGGACCACTCTAGACATCTTCACCCACTAACGCACTAATTTGATAATTTTGGTTACTTACCCAGCATGTCTTTCAAACCAGCGCTCGTCATCGTCGACGTACAGGAAGACTTCTGCCCGCCAGTAAGCACCCACCATTCGCATGGGTGCCTCCGAGTTAACAAGCTTAGAACGGAGCGCTCGCAGTAGCAGGTGGACGCGAAATCGTCCCGACCATCAACGACTTCCTCACATATCCCTTTGCTCTCAAAGTCGCGACCAAAGACTTCCATCCCCAAGACCACGTCTCCTTCGCCTCGAACCACTCTCCGCCGAACAACAAGCCTTTCGAATCCACCTTCACCATCAAGAACCCGAACAACCCAGACGAGACGCAGGAAACGCGATTATGGCCAGACCACTGCGTGCAGGGCACTAAAGGCTCCGAGCTGCTGCCAGAACTGGACGTCAGCAGGGTGGACCACATCGTCGAGAAGGGCCAGGACAAGCGCGTGGAGATGTACTCTGCGTTCGCGGATCCGTTCAAGCGCCCATCTGTGGCCAGGAGCGATCTTGCAGAGAGATTGCGCAAGGCCGAGATCACCGACGTCTTTGTCGTCGGTCTCGCAGGCGACTACTGTGTCAAGTACACTGCGATCGATGCACAGAAGGAGGGCTTCAAAACATGGGTAGTCGGCGATGCGACAAGGGCAGTCGATCCGTCAGCAATGGAGGAGGTCCACAAGGAGTACGAGAAGGTTGGAGTGACGCTTATAGCCAAGGATGATGCACAGGTCCAGAGGGTCAAGGAGCAAATTCAGCGGACTCAGGACCAGGGCGCGAAGGATGCAAGCAGGGCCGGCGAGAGTGTGCTGGACTAGACGACAGTCATGAATGTCTGATAGTAATCGAATATAAGGTGTCTCGTCAGATCTTTGGCGATGTGCACCCCTTGACAGCGACGTCATCGCCATGAATCCTTCTCGCGCCCGGTTCTCCCGGAATGCGGACGCGTAGCATTCAAGATTATCATCGCGCGACATCCGGGCCGGCCCCCACTGTATCTGGTGGCACTGTTCCTGGAATCGCAGGTCCTGGGTATTCGGAAGAATAGTCGTGCTCCGAGCCGTGCCGCATGCGCGTGTCGCGTACTTCGTATGGCGGCGCTTTGGCATGTGCCGACTGCGGGGCATGGGGCAGCAGGCCTGCAGAACACAGCCTGGCGATCGCTATATTAGGGCCAGTCAGCTGGATGCTCAAAAGACTGCATGCTGTGTCGCCTGGCGCCCTGGACCCCTCACTGCACGCCCTTCCACGGTCGAGCGTTGTTGATGTTTACAGTTTGCTGCTAAACAGGTCCAACGCGCGGGGTCGCTAGTTTTTGTGAAGCCCCCATCGTCATTGCTGCGACTAAGCTCACCCTCGCCGGCACCCGAAGCACCAAGACATCCTCTGCCGGTACTTCGCTGCCTGCTTCTGCCCGCCTCACCTCCACCACTTTTCCCTTTCTCTCCCTCTGCGGCCTGTATTCACCATGCCGCACCTCCCTATAGTCTCCAAACACCGGCGGTCGTCGCTCACCAGTGCGTCATCTCCCGAATTCCGGCCGTACCGAAGCTGATGCAAGTTTGAATGTTTAGGTAGCCGCGGGTCTTCCATAGACGAGACACGACGACACGAGGGCGGCGACGAGACGACCAAGGAGGACGAGACCGTCATGGATTCCGAGCAGGGCAGCATGCTCTCCCACATCATATCCCAACTGCGACCCGGCGCCGACTTGAGCCGCGTCACGCTTCCTACCTTCATCCTCGAACCGCGGTCGATGCTGGAACGCATAACAAAGTGTGTAGCGCATCTAGGCTTGGCGACGGGTGCATAGGCTGACTATCAGGCAGCTTCATGGCACATCCGGAGACACTTCTCCCTATAACCAAGGTGGAAGACCCCGTACAGCGATTCGTAGCAGTGACAAAGTTCTACCTGAGTGGTTGGCACATCAAGCCCCCGTATGCATCTCCGCCTTCTTCTTGCGCCCACAAGCAACAACTGATGTGACTTAGGGGAGTCAAGAAGCCGCTCAACCCCATCCTGGGTGAAATCTTCACAGGCTACTGGGACTACCCGGACGGCACCAAGGGCTACTACATCTCCGAACAGACGTCGCACCACCCGCCCAAGTCGAGCTACTTCTTCATGGCCCCCGAGCACAACATCCGCATAGACGGCACCCTCAAGCCTCGCAGCAAGTTCCTCGGCAACTCCGCGGCGAGTATGATGGAGGGCATCGCAGTTCTGCGGCTACTAAATACCGGCGAGCGATTGTAAGTCTAGCGCATGAACACCACAGCTTGAGGCTCACGACAGGTAGTTTCGTCACTCAACCCAACATGTACGCGCGCGGTATCCTCTTCGGGACGATGAAGTACGAGCTTGGCGACCACGCATACATTCGCTGCCCCGAGACCGGTCTCACTGCCGATCTCGAATTCAAGACCAAGGGTTACTTCAGTGGATCCTACAACGCTATCGGTGGCTACATCAAAGACTCCAGCGGCAAGAACCTCTACGAGCTCTCGGGCCAGTGGAACGAGGAGATGTACATCAAGGATCTGACAGTAAGGTTCTCACTCTTGCAGGGTCAGAACATGTACTGACCATTTGTAGACTGGCAAAAAGGAGCTCCTGTTCGATGCAGCACATACCAAACATACCCCACCGTCGGCTCGGCCTCTCGAGGAACAAAACGACCGAGAATCGCAAAAGCTCTGGCACGATGTGACCGAGGCTGTGAAGCGGAGAGATCAGGACGTCGCAACCGATGCCAAGGCTAAGATTGAAGACATGCAAAGACAGGAAGCTGCGAAAAGAAACAGCGAAGGCGTGGACTGGCACCCACAGCTCTTCAGACGCGTAAAGGGCGGCAGTGGCGGCAGCGAAGAGGGCGAAGAAGACCTCGACTGGATCATCAATGCTAAGATGTCAGTACCCTGCAAACTCTCCGTATGCGTTTCGTGCTAACAGGATGTAGTGATGGCAAGACGCCTGACGAGGTCGTCAAGCAGATCCTGCAGATCTACGCGATCCTCCCGGGTCAGAAGCCAGACAAACAATTCAACATCCCATCGCGAGCGAGTGAAGCGCATCTACCACAGGCACAAGGAGCTGTACAACCAGCGGAACAAGTACCCGTTGGACAGTCAGCACAGTCTACGGAAACGTTGCAGCCAGTACCGTCCGAGCCTACAAGCGTGCAGTCGCGACCAGTGACACAACACGAACAGCAGAGCGTAGGTCTCCCCAGCAACTTCGACGGAACATCGACTCATGCCCCGCCCTTCAAAAACAGCAGCATCCCCAGCAATCCTAGCAACCCACCTATGCCACCTCTCGAAAAGCCCTATTCGCAACCTAGTGCGATCTCACCCGAGAACCGTGAGGCCTTCGCCAAGGAACTGCCTCCCAGCAAACTCCTTAATTCCAACCCCGAACCAGAGCCACGAAAGGACGATCTCCTGCGGAGGACCGATAGTGAGACTCAGGAGGACGATGAGTTCCATGATGCACAATCGTGAGTTCTTTTTCCGAGCTCTCGTTGGCTCCGCTATCGATACCTACTACCATAATCTGGTATCTTCTTTCTTTTTGTTGTCATGGGTCAAGGCTCACGATCCTATCTATAGAGTTCTCGAATTGAAAGAATCCAAGAAACGCTGCGGCGGCGGATGCTTTTCAACCTGCATCCCATCATAGAATTACCCCAATGCGGCCTTCATTTTATCCTGTGTCTCTAGCCTGGTAACGGGTTGTGGTTGGATGGATGGTGGCATCGAATGCATTTCTGGAAAGTACTAACCCATGTTGGTTTGCGCAATGAACTAGTTTGTGAATGATGCTGTTTGGGCGGTGTTGCCTTGGGATGCCTAGATCATGTCCGGGGATGGCAAGGCTGCAGCCACGTTTTGGGACAAAGTGGGGTTGGTGGCGTTGCACCAAGGGTGCACGCCTAATCCGAAGACCCCATAATCCCGCCGTACCGCCCTAGATACTCCACAAGCTTCTTTTCATAAGAGCTCGAGTTCCAACCTTCTGTTCTGATACCAGCTTGTGTTTTATTCATCTTTCATCATTCATCATGGGCTCCTTCGATTGTTACTGTATCTTATGCTCCATCTGCATGAACATTGGCGCCATCAGGATTGGATCGAGAAATGGCAAGTCTTTGCGCAAGCGAGATCGCGCGATGGATATAAGGATGGGAAGACGTACTGGGAAGAAGGTGGGACGCGGATTTGTGTACAGCGACGATGAGGACGAAGAAATGGAAGATGCGATCGACCCCGAAGCCGTCGAGAAGCAACGCAAAGAACAGCAAGAACAGGACGAAGACGATGCAGATTCGGATTACGAATATTCCTCGGATCCTTCTTCTGAAGACACAGAATCCATCGATAGCAACGACTCCGACTTACTTACGAGATCATCCGAGATTCTTGACGTCGCTCTTCGACCCCGTACTCCAGAGCCTGAGCCTGTGGAAGAAGTCGATGATGGAAGTTGGTCGCAAGATCCCGAGTTGGACATTAGCGATGAGTGGGGTCTTGACAATTATGCCAGTACCGAGAACACTGAGGACAACAGTTTTGATCCTAGACTCATCGGACTCGACGACGTCAGATGGATTAATCGGGTCCGCGCACTGGCACTCAATCCCGAGCGGAAAGCCTACATATCCGGTAGAGGCCGCTACTACGACTATGGCTCTCTAGATATCGAAGGGCCTGGAAGAGATCCCAATGATCCGGGCGAAGGTTCTTTGAACATCACGAGCTACGCGAGTGGGGACGAACAACAAGCTTTTCCATTCCACGAGGCATGCTTCGACATTCTCGCAAAGAGCATAGGACTTGAGAGCAGAGATATTAATAAGCATGTGATGTTGAGAACGTTTAGCGCTCTTCTTGCAAACGAAAGACCAGTTTTGGATGTGGACTATCAGGTCTTTTCGGGCAACGAGCAATTTTGGCATAATGGAGCGGGATCGGAGTATGAAGTGTGCGATCCTTCCCCCCGACCTGCTCTCCAAGAAAGTATACAAGACATCCTACCCGCCAACATTTTCGGTGGGAGTCCGCAGTTGGCAAATCTAGCGCACAAGGTGCGAACGGATCCAATTGCAGTCCTCCCGTACGACCTGCTTCTCGAAATCCTTGGATATGTTGACTCCAAAGACATGCTTTCGCTCATGCAAGCTTCGCATCACGTCAGCAGCGTCACTCGCGAAGCCGCATTCTGGAAACATATGGTACGCATGCGTGTATTGCCATGGTTCTACGAGTTGCGTTACTTCGTGGAGACTGCGACCACCGATGCGCTCGACTACAAAGGTCTTTTTCTCTGGGTGGATTCATCGACTCGTCCCAGGTTCGGCATCCAGGGACCCCTCATGCACATAGCAAATCGACGCCGGATCTGGGGCTGCTGCCAGCCAGTAGCCTCGCTCTACAAGAAAGCAACTGGGCCGGTCGAGCCCGCTGAGCCGGCAGACTCGGACGAAGCAAAGGCGATTCTAGACAGCTCCGCATGCTTGCACATGCCCATGACCATGTATCCCCTGCCAGCTCAGACCGAGACCTTTTCGGCACAGTTTATTCACTCTTGGAATGAGATTACTCATCGTGCTTGCGTTTTGGACACCTACTGGCGCCAGATTAACAACAGCCACGACTACTTAGTGGGCATCTCCGTCACCCTGGGTGACCAAAAAAGACTTTTTGGCAGCTCTGATGGATTTACTGGACTTCCGCTTCATCTTGATCGTGGGGAGTGGATCAAGGAGATCGTCTGCTGTATCGAAGATATTGTGAATCAGACCGGGCCTCATGGGAAGCCTGAGGATCCTTGGCCATCCAAAACTGCTATGATCAGCGGTATCTCTGTACGCTGGGCTCACCATCTCCGAAGAAAACTATACTAATTAGAAGTAGGTGACACTGAATAGTGGGAGAAAAAAAGGCTTGCACCAGAGTTACGCTGGTGTGCGGAGGCCGTTCCAAGTGTTGGATGGCATGCATTTAGTAGGAATGACGGGTCAAATTGCTTCGGTGAGTTGCCAAATGCTGCAGCCGTCTGCGCTACTCTACAGGCATCTACTGACCTCATTGCAAGAATGGAGCTATCTCACGTCTCGGTCTTCTTCAAGCATGCAGACCGGACTCAGCACCACTCGCTCAGCCGCGATACCCTTCCGTTCAGCAGATGGCATGGGGAAAGCTTGGATCATCGCTACCCTACGACCGTATTGGTCAAAGGTATCCTCAACAGGCTTCAGTCTGGGCGCATCCTACGATCCATTTCGAGTCCTTCCCCACTCCCATTCACCCCATACCATACGAACTCCCCGAGGATATGATGCCCAACGATGTGTTCATGTGGAGCAAGAAAAACACAGGTATTGAATGCTTTCAGCCCATTGCAACGAGTCTCTCCATGCCTCACGATTCGACCGAAGATCCCACGCAGTCGACCAGCGCAAGCCCCACAACGACAGCACTGCCCAGCTCTCTCCCTGCAACCAGCACATCGTCATCGTCCTACCAACTCCATACGGGTATCGATATCGTCGGCATCAACCCCGGCCCTCATGACATGTGGGGTAATCGCGGCCGCAGCGTCGGCTCCCGCGGACCCGTCCTATGTCAATCCCCCAAATGGGCGCACGACATGACTGAGCCTCTCCAAGAATCCCTCAAAGCCGCATGGGAAGATCTGCAAAAGACAGGCGGCGGTCCACACCCTTACCAACAACAAAACACCGTCACTTTCCCGCTGAACCAGGAAGACATCACTGAAGTCCACGTCGAGCAGCAGTACCGCGCTCTCAAGCTTGTTACGCAGAGTGGTCGGGTTGGCTACTTTGGAGAGCCGGATATGCGCGATTGGTTCGTGAGGAAGGCGGTGGGTGGAGAGCGGATTGTGGGGATTAGTGCGTGTTTTGGGGCGTTGGGGGGTTGGAGTGAGTCGGCGAGGATGTGGAGTCATCTTAAGTTGAGTCGCGTGGGGGTGGTGTTTGAGAGGGTTGATGGAGAGGGGACGGTGATTGGTAAGGAGGAAGAGAAGGAGATGAGGGAGAAGGGGGTGGTGTTTGAGGAGGGTAAAGTTGTTATGTGCTCAGAGTAGGAGGGTATTGGCGTGGTGGTAGAGCTCCAGTATGGTGTTTTGCGCAATGTGATGCTCAGCTAGTTTACGCATTTGGGTAAACAGTTCTTTCACAGATGTAGTGGGTACATTTGTCTCGGTCAATTCTAAAGCAGCATCATAACGTTTCCTTCCACATACTACGCTCCAACGTACGATTGCATGTTCTCATCCAGCATTTCGAGATCATAACAAGAAATACAGAATGCAACGTAGGGGGCGGTGACAACGCACATATAAGCCATCAGATGTAGTTCGATATGGATGATCCCAGTAATATGCCAGGGACGAACCTCATCGCTCGACAAATCCAGGCTCTTATCACCACATCTCCGGACCGGCACGGAAACAACTTACAATCTGCCAACTCCTCACCGTTCAATACAGCAAGCCAATTGAGAACGCCGCGGACCTGAAGATCAATGTTGTCGCGTCCACGATGATGCGTCGTTCCCCACGCGCGATAAGGTTCGTGCTTGAGGGTCAGTGACATCATCCCTCGCGAAAATGCCTGGGCAGCGCAGCTAAACACAGCCTACTTCTGACAAGGTTGCGCTATCCAGATCTGCCACGTTGATCTGCGCTTTCTCTTGGTACGCGTCTTGGACAAATACCGCAAAGTATATACATTGCGACTTGCAGCCGGAATGAGCTCGTCGTGGTTGCCGCTCGACGACAACGACGCGATGCACGACCCGCTTGAGGAGCTGCGCAACCCGCGTCAGGCCAAAGATGACTTTTTGAAGTATTTGAAAGAGGAGGTGTTGAAGTTGAATTTTTATCGCGCGCATATGCTGTATTTCGTTGTCGTTATCGCGATCTCCTCGGTTATTGTTTATGGGCAGGGTCTTGCTGATGGGCCCAAAGAGTATGGAGATGCGCATGTGACTTACACCGACGCGCTGTTTTTGTGCACCAGTGCTATGACAACTACAGGTAAGTGTCTTCCCCGTCCTCTGGAATTGTGTGAGCCGAATACTAATCGATGCAGGGCTCAATTCGGTAGATCTCGGAGATATGTCCGGCTTCCAGCAAGCGACCTTCGCCGTGCTGCTAATGATTGGCAACATACCATTTGTATCGACAGCTGTGGTACTCATCAGAAGAGCACTGTTCCGGAAAAAGATGGCAGATGTCGTCAAACATTCGCACACGATGCAAAGACTCGTGCAAGATATCGAGAACAGCCATTCAGATCAAAACGAAAGCAGCAGCAGTACCGGAAGCCTGCGCCAGCGACCGAATACAAAACAAGGCCAGACAGGAAAGAAAGCACAAGAAGAAAACGAGGAGCCGCCGCAAGCAAAGATGTATCCCAAGTCGAGAAGACGCACATATCACTACGAGACCGGATTTGGCTTCATACCAACACCCTGGGAAATGAAGTCCGCACGCAACTTCTTCAGCCGCATGCTGGACCGCTTTTCGACAGAGTTGAAACCCGAGAAACACGACTACGTCTCTTTCAAGCCGCATCTCGATTCCAAGGGTCGATTCCGCGAGCTCAGTGAGCAGGATCGCATGGAGCTCGGAGGTGTGGAGTATCGTGCACTCCAAGCTCTGTTGCTTATCCTGGTGGGTTATCAGATCTTCTGGTATCTGCTTGGTATCACTTTCCTGATACCGTACGCATATCGCGATGATACCAAAAGCACATTGTATCAAGAGCAGCCCGGTGCCATCAACCCAGGATGGTGGGCATACTTTGCGACGGTGACAGAGTTCTCCAACGGTGGACTCAACGTGCTGAACGCTAACTTCGTCCCTTTCAGCGGCAATGCATATGTTCTGCTTGTGGCTGCATGTCTCGCGTTCGCTGGTCAGACGCAGTTCCCGATTCTACTCCGCATCACGATATGGATGCTGAAGAAGATACTACCAAAGGAGTCTCGTATCAGGAACACGATGCAATTCCTACTACAGCATCCGCGACGTTGTTTCATATACCTTTTCCCCAAGCGCGAGACAGTATACCTGTTTCTCGTCCAGCTGGGCATCGATATCACTGCCTGGCTTTGCTTCGAGATATTGAATATCGGCATGCCAGATGTCGAAGCTCTATCCACTGGCGCTAGAGTAGTAGATGGACTCTTCATGGCCAGCGGACTACGCACTAGCGGCGCATACATCATTAACATGAGTTCGCTCGCGCCCGCATGCTTGGTGGCTTATTTAGTCATCATGTACATCTCCATCTACCCCATGACGTTGGTATTGCGGAAGACGAACACGTACGAGGAGAAATCGATCGGATTGGAAGAGAATGACAGTAGTGCTGCTGGCGTAGCATCACACTTGCAGAAGCAGCTTGCTTACGACATCTGGTTCCAGTTCTTTGTGTTCTTTCTCATATGTATCATTGAGCGAGGTCACATTCTCAACGCATCGCCGGGATTCAGCGTCTTCTCGATATTATTCGAAGTCACATCGGCATATGGCACTGTCGGCTTGAGCCTCGGTGTACCGGGAAAGAACACCAGTCTATGCGGCGACTTTGCCAGCTTGAGCAAAGTCGTCTTAATGGCTGCTATGCTACGTGGTAGACATCGTGGACTACCTTTGGCGATCGACAGAAGCATTCTTCTACCCGGCGAAGAGTTGATGCATCGCATGGATCAAGAGTACAGCTCGAGGGGCACAGAGAACCCACAAGAAGAGGCAGAGCTGAGAGATGACATTGAATCAAGTGGCGAGCAACAAAAGAATGGTGGAAAGGGCGACCAAGATCCCGAAGACAGGAGAGGGTCGCAACCGGACAACGAGGCTGGTCAGGAAGGGGCGGGAGAGACAGTCGCAGAGTCCAACCCCTGATGAAGAAGGGCCGCAAGCACAGTGCAGCCATGGTCCCCTCGGGAGTACTGTCGGCCAAACATCACCCCAGATAGCCACAACGATTACGTTGATACAGTCACGAGAGTCAGCTGACCCAACGACTCTACGGTCCGACACAATCCTTTGGGAGTCACGCGTTACACACGCATTAGGCGACTACACCGACGCAGGCTTTCCTATCGCCTTATGCACCACCAAACCTTCGGTCACACTTCCAGAACCCCTCACTCATGCATGTCGCGGATATGACCGAACCCACGGCTTCAGCCTGCGACGTCATCTTCCCCCTCAGCCATGCATACACAGATTCTATCAGCCCTACAAGGCATGCGAATCCATCGCGCGCATCCATCGCTCACACGCCACAGTTATGCGCCTCGAAACTAAGGCGCTCACAGATCCCCACCAGGTCTCAAACCCAGTTCGCATGAATACCGCCAATGCGACCCTGACCGACTCCACTGGACCGGAATCCAACGCACATCCCTGACACTTGCCGGAGCGTAGATCTGCATTAGGACTTCGGCATATGCGCTGACCGGGGACATGGAAATTGACTCGTTTGGTTCCAAGCCAGGGGGGTGTGGTGGGGATAAGGGAGGATCTCTGGTCGATGAGATGGCGTGTTTACAGGGGGGGCCACAGGAAAGGGATCATGGAGGAAGGGTAAGGCACCAAGGCATGAATATCGGGAAATTAGCAACAGAGCACTGGTAACTTGTAGATGGCTGGGATGCCGTCTAGTTGGACGGATGGACGGGCTGTGGCGTTGTGCGTTAGGATCGGTGGGATGCGAGTCAAATGACGTTCGCGGGATGGGCGGGAGATGCGCAGGGCTGACATGGGGTCGAGCGTCAGACCAGCACACAAGAATAGGAACACGGGATGCCGATTTTTCTCTCTGCTCTCGCAAACCCGTCGCGTCTCTTAGTAAGACAGTTGTGATTTGGAATTCTCAATGGTCCTACTCCGGTCTATGACGAGGCTGTCTATATGCACATCGCCAAAGACGACACACGCGTGTATTGCATGCACCCCTGCTTACGTGTGCGAAACCCACCAACACCACGTCAACTTCCCACTCTGCCGTTTCGCACTCCGAGCACATCGTGAGCGAACATCGTCAAAGCGAAATCGCCACCTACACGCACACACGATCTTGACAGGTGCATCTGCCACCCACGCCCGCCGTTACCAAACCGTTGTGCCGCGCAAAGAGCAACTAGTGCGGTCCCAAACGTTTCACCTTACCAAACACGCGACGAGTCAGGCTTCACCGCACCCACCGGTACCAGTACGGCAGCGACAACGGCAGCGGCAAAGAAGGAAATCATCCGACGATTGCAACGGTATGCTAGTAGAAAAAGGACAGATAGTTCAGATGGCGCGTTCGCGTTCGCTTGGTAAGTTCCGTGATGTGGTGTTCTGTGCCTTGGGGTTTTCGGCACCGGTGGGTGTCATGGGCGGGCCTTGGAAGCAAGGCTGCCGCTGTCAGATTAGTTATCTGGACGAGGAATCAGCTCATGAGCGGGTAAATGTGAGTAAGAGGTTGATTGTGCACTAGGTCGAGTGTGAAGGTGGAAAAAGGTTACGTTGTCGTTGATGCCGTGGTCAAACTGCAGGTTTTGCGAATATCTTCATGTCCAAGACTCAAGTGTCTTAACATGCGTTTGATATGATATCAGTAATACTACGGACAAGAGGAAGTTCACAAAAGGTAAAGGAGAGGAAGTCGTGTTTGACATGCTCGCTTAACCGCCTGTATTAGGCAAACATCAGGCGTAAGCGAAATGTCAGGAACATGTGGTCGTCAAGGGTATGCTCGTTGAACTTTCACACAACGACCAAGTGTCTTGAAGATCTGGACTAGTAATGTGGATATTCTTCTGTATTGACTACCGCTACCATCTACCGCGTAGAACAATGCTGCAAAACTCTTCAAAAAGTGAAGCGCCCAGATACCACTTGATGCTATGCGCCAAGACCAAAATTCCAAATGCTGAACGCCTGAGTAAAAGATCCGAAACAACAATTGTCTCATATGCCATGCAAACCATACCGCTCTTGACATATACCACCGAGGACGTTAAGACAGTAATATGAAGAAAAGGGTTGATTGAATAGCGAATTAACGAAAGTAGAGAAGAGGAGAAAAGAGTCATTTGCCAATGCCATAACCGCATTCCCATGCATAATGCCACGACCCAGGAAGTGATCTAACAAGTACGGGAATGTAAGGATAATGGACATTTATTTCCTATCGTCGTTGAGGAGGCTGGCGATGGGCATGTTGTCCCTGGGCGCGGAGCTCCACGTACCAGCCCTTGGGCGGCCAGAGGAAGGAACAGGCATGGGCAGAACGTAAGGCATGCGCTCTGGGGCTGAAACGGCGCTAATGTTCATGGGGTTCATCGGGCTGTAGTGCTTGGCTGGCTCGCTGTGGGCAGGCGAGATGTAGCTCGGGAAGGGAGAGGGCTTGAACATGGGGTTGTGCATGATGCTACCATCGGGCGAGGCGTCCGGAGTAGGAGGGCGAACAGCGTTGGAACCGTTGCGCCAGATCTCCTCGAGCTGGGCGGGGGAAACATCCGCACCGTAGTCGGCAGCGACGGTAGCCCAGAACTGTTGGCGGCGGGCCTCGTAGATGGAGCGGAGACGATCAGTGTCAACAATCTTGGGCTGGTGGGCCACTTCGGTGTTGATACGGAGACCGTTGTAAGGCTCCGGAGATCCACGGGGAGTAAGGGTGCGGGGCTTGGGAAGGAGGATCTTGTGCTGGGAGCGGCCGGGAGAGGTGGTGATGGAATTGGCGCGGACATGGGGACTGCCAGTGTAGCTCATGGGAGAGCTATGGCGGGAAGATTGAGAGTAGGCATCCTGATCCATGGTCATGGAGTAGACCGGAGCAGTACCGGAAGAGCTGCAAGAGGCGTTGGAAGAGACCGAGTTGTTGCGCTTGCGGCGGTGGCTACCGTGCGAGAGCTGGTGGTAGTGCAGGCGGCATGCAAGCTCGGTCTTCTTGAGGTGAGCAGCAATGTGCTTGTAAGGCATCTTTTGCATGCGGGTCTGAAGAAGGTAGTTCTCCTAGATATTGTAAGTACATGGTGGATGCTGATGAGTGCAACTGGTGGACATACCTCTTCTTCGGACCAAGACCTGTTACCACCGGCTGACATCTTCCTAGCGCGGAGGCTGGAAGGGTCAGGAGACTGAGAGTTCATCTCAGGAAGAGGGGAGAGAATCTGGGGCTGGTGGTGAAGCATGTTGTAATCGTTGTGTTGCTGAGCTGATAGTATGTTGATGTTGATGTTGCTGGTTGGAGTACTTGGCGTAGAAGAAGTCGTTGATTCGTGTCCACTAGGGATGTCTGTTCGTCGTGATCGAGGCTGGCTCTGAAAAGAAAGTATTACACGGTGTGTCGGTAAAAAAGTAATTGCTCAGCAATGTTGGTAAAGTTGATTAAGTGAATGTAGTGCAGCCCAAACCAGTGGGAAGTAAAAGAGAGTATTACAAGGCTGCTAAAAAACAAAAGACAGATGCCGATTGAACAGATGCGGTTGAAGCCTCGAAACTTGGGGCACTCGGGCAGTTATAGAGTTTGGACAGAGGTCAAGAAACGGGTCGGTCAGTGGTCACAGACCAGGTCGATTAGCAGTGGCAGTTTCTGAGATTGGCAACGTTTTCAAACCGTCGCTTCTGCAACTCGATTCCTGATCGGCATCATGGGGCAAAGACGGTGTTCGCAGCCAAAATGTTTAGAAGAACCTTGACACGAGACATGTTAAGCCGGAAGTGGAACGGACATGAAGACGCATACGAAATCGCTGCCTGGGGCTCTGAAGATCTAGAGCGGGATGCATAAGGTCCTCAGCCTCATCGGGACCCACGGGGGCAGTTTCAAAACCGCGCGCGTCGGACTTGGTGCAGTTTTGACGGAGCGCGAGGTTTGACAATGTTTGGAAAGCTGGAAACAAGCAGCGACCAGTGCCGAAGCGACGGCGGGCGCTAACGCAGAACGTGCTGTGACAGGCTGCGGGGGGGACTGTGCGCCGGCGGTCGCCCATTGCAGAGACAAACAACATTGGCAACGAGCTTTGAAGCATTCCTCAACGACGATGCCTCAGACACTTTGCTACGAATCTGCTCATGTGAATAGGGCCGAGCAGACGGTGAGTGGAGATGATTCGCAACACACAAGAGTGCAGATGACGACGCTGTGAGACAGGCGAAACGAGTACGTTCGGATGGGTCGTGTTCCGCCTACAGCATCAACACGTCAGGCAACTCGTAAGGCCGAAGCGCTTGGCAGGCCATGTGTGCTGCTATAGGTCGTAAGTGGTAAGGCTGTGGCAGAGCGGTTCTGATCAAACGCTTGTGGCTTGTAGTGATACTGGCGCTGCGTCAGGCGGCTGGAGAAAGAGCTTGGCTTGAATGCGGAGCGGAGCCTGGGTTGAAAAGGCATCCAGGCCCACGGCGAGCAAAGTACTCAGGACGGTCCGGCAGCAGCATATCGATTACCTCACTCCTCTTCCCCGCGCCCAGCGGTGTTGCTGATGAGCGCAAGAGGTCCTTGTTTGGTACCATCGTTGCAAGCCGCTGCTGCAGTGGCCGTGTGGAGAAGACAGGGATGGCTCGCACTCGGCGACGACTGAGGCCGGGCTAAATAGCAGCACAATCTCTGTGGTGGTGAGGGCGCCATTGGCGGTCAAGCGGCAGGTCGTGAGATAGATTGTCGAGCAGAGCAGCCGTCTGACGTGGTCGTGTTTGTGCGACTCTCGCCATGGCGACTTCCCGCTGTGTTGTTGACCGATGATGAGGTTGGAAGGCACGAGCACCACTCGAGGAAAGAGCGGCCGGTCCATGCACGCTGCCCCGCTCCAGCTGCCAGCAACTCCGTCACCACTACGGCACGCCATCTGGCCTGGTAGCGACTCCACGGTGACCTGATCTGGAGTCACTCTACTCGACCCGGCATGGGAATCGCCATGACACTCATGACAACATGCGCTTGTCTCGCCCACTACTCCGCCGGCGCCGTGGCTGTCTGTATACACAGTCATCATGTCGCGACACCCGATCGGGGGCGCTCCGCATCACTCGCATGTATGCTGGACACGCATGAAGCAGTCACGCGCTGCGCACTCTACCTCCGCTGCCCTCTTAGCACTCGTCGCGCTGTCCCCGTAACCTCAAAGCCACCTGTTCATCAGAGCCGGGCCCTAGAGCCTGTTACCCCGCTTCTTGTCTGCAGCGCGTCCCCGCGTATCTATACCTCGACGACCACCTTCAATTCACTAGCGGGCAAGTACTAGTACTTGCCCTCCCCATCTTGGGCGCCGACCCCCGCTAGCATTCGGCCACTTAACCTCACAGCGTCGCCCTCGTCCTCCACCATGATGCCTATGCCTTCCTCCCATTCGCCCGTCTGCTGCCAACCTGACCCTCTTTGTATCCCTTGTACTTGATCAGCGCTCGCACCGACAGGCCATCTGCTTCCTTGGATATCATGATGATCTACTGCCTCCAGTCTGGCCGTCGTACCCTCTGAAAGTGGTCCTGAAGCTGTAATATACGAGCATGACACTACACTCTATAGGCGCATCCTGCTCTCCCCAGTGAAGCTGTCTCGTGCTGCCGCCTGCCTGGCTTAGGTCTTATCGCCCCGTCTGCCGCCATGTCGTGAGTCTTTCCACTATATCCGTCTCGTCTTGTCCCCATTCTGCGACTCTGAGATACTTCCCCTACTCGACTCGGTACCTTGCCGCGCGCGCTGACGTTGTGGCCCCCGACAGCTCCTCGCCCTCCACCAAGCGTAGCCTGAAACCGTCGCCCATTGCAGCGAACCCCCAACCGAGCGTTCAGTACTCTGGACCGCCAGAGCTGCCCAGTTTACAGCCAGCGGCGTCATTCACCACGGCGAATCCAGAGGCTCACACTGGCGCTCAACCGCCACTGCCATCTCCTACGAGCCGAAAGCGCAAGTCTGTAACCCTCGGACAGTCCCAGGAACAGATGGCAGGTACTGCAGATAGTGCAGAGGCGCAAGCGAGTAGTGCTGTGTTGCCACCCACGGCTGATGTCGATGCTGCACAGGAGCCCAAGACCAAGAAGAGTCGGACAAATACGCCTTGGACGCCAGCTGAGGAATTGAGATTGAAACAAATGAGAGATGCTGGAAACAGCTGGAGCGAGATCGCAAAGGTGAGCAGGGCGCTTGCCGGATCAGACAACTGCCGTGTTCCCGGAGAACAGTTAGCTGACTTGGCCTTTGGTAGACGTTCCCGCAGCGGACAGAAGGGAGTGTAAAGAAACATTGGTACAAGGTGGGCATGCGACCAGTACTGTTCCACTGCGGACCCTCTAACTGACCTTCAAGGACATGCACTATGCCGAGTTCGCTGAGGACGAAGTGAGTTAGAGGCTATATCTCCGTCCCTCTGAGAGTGTGCTGATGAGTAAGAAGAGCGCCGCGCTGCTTGCCGCCATCAAAGAATACGATGCCAACAAATGGAAGGTCATCGGTCAGAAGGTTGGCAAGCCTGCAAAAGTATGTCTTGATCGTCTCTGAACGTAGTCTTCGCGTGCATGAGCTTGTACTGACGTGCACCAGGCATGCGAGCAGTACGCAAAGGAGAATTTTGGCGGCAAGTACTGAACGACACTCATGATCACAGTCTGCATCTTTCCGGAATTAGTGCGGTGGGGCCCGCTTATGATACCAGCTTTCCTATCTTGATCGAGCATCGCATGCGCAAAAGTGCTGTGGGCATCCGTTCGTCCTTCTTGGTGTTTCCGGACGTGGTTCTCGGCAGCGGAGTACACAAGGCATTAGTCGCCTTCTCTTTCCAAAAGATGCTTAGCAGTTTTCGGCAACGCTGACCAATGTTATTGTGTTTCTCCGCGGTCATCCTTTCGCTTCGGGATTTGGTTGTAGTCCTGAGGGAGCTTCCATCCTGGATATAATGTCGAATGTCTTTACTTAGCAATAGTCGGCAATGTATCCATGCCATAACGGATTATCGCATGTGGGGAGCATCTCAAAGTCTTGCGTGTCGAAGCGGCGATTGGCCGATCTTGCTTGTGTTATCGTTTCACGTCAACGAACAGTTGGGAGAGTTGGTTTCGGCAGCCTGCAGCGGTTCGTTGAATGTTTCAACCCCTCGCCACACCACACCTCAACGTTCCGCCTCACCTACTGCCGCACGCAGATCGGCAGAATCCGCCTGGCTATTTGTAGCACACATAGACGACGCGCCTTTGCCGTCAGTGTAGCAATCATGGCGCAGAGGACGATCGTTGTTTTCTTTTTCGTGCGATCAACGGTGTCGTTGGGGCGATCTCAGTCGCGACGCCCACGTGTAACGGCATGAGTTACCCATAGTCCCAGACGAACGCTCCGGCTATGCTACCGAACCATATCAACGGGCGCGCGATGTGGTCGCGACGCGCTTGCACGAAGCCGTGCCGTAACGTCGACAGTAGATTGCGCGTCGGGGGAACTTGGTCGCCCACAATGCGCCGCAACGCGCTTCTACTCACCGTGTACATGCGCTGCACGCGCTCCGCTCACGACGCAGGCCAGATGACATGGCGGCGTGGCCGCGGTGAAGGGCGTGGCCGCGGTGAAGGGCGCGGTCTGTTGGACGGAGCGTGGTGAGGGCTGCATCGTGCAGTTCCGCGAGCCTATAGTTCGCAATGGCGTGCATCAGCCTAAATGGATAATGCGCCGTTGGTCGAGTACTTGAAGATTGGCAGACTATCGCTAGGCCTGAAAGTCGTACATGGCGACGGCGGTGAGGTCATAGCGAGGGCTGCAGATGCAGGGAGATCCCAGCCTCCAGCCGGGGAGCGCGTCTGTCGTGAAGTCGTCACGTGAGAGCGGCTGGTGGTGAGGGCGCGCCAGGAGGACGCGGTTGCCTCTTCGGCGAGCGCATCCGTCGTGGCGTACATAGGGCGACCGTGTAGGCAGCGGCACGACGCACTGGACTCGCGATGCCTCATCTCGCCCATGCAGTCGAGAGATGACCTGTATGCGAGGCTTGCGGGCCAGAAGATCGCGGCCGGCTGCGATTCGACGTCGACGCTAAAATCGGGAACTCGCTACTCAGGCGAGCCCGCTGTCGTCCTCGCTTGCTCCTTCTCCCCACAACGCCTCACGCATTCGCCCGCCTCAAACACCTGGCTGCTGTCTCAGGTATACTCTCTCGCAGTGCTCATCTCTACTTGCCACCAGCACTCCGTACACCCGCTGCGTCTGCAGCAG